AAAGGCCCATGAGTCAGAGTCCATGGAATGTGAAGCTGGACACGGGCCTGGTTCGGGGACGAAGGCTGGGGGCCGTCCCTAGGGGTGCAGACAACAGGGCTTGTTAGAGTCAGTGTCCTGGTTCACGGAAGGGCAGAGAGTCCAGAAAAGTGGGGAAAAGAAAAGTCAGCCAGTTTTTTCTCAGAGGCCAATGAGAGGCTTGTCTGACATCCACTGTGCCGTTCGGAAGCCCCGTGTTTCACCCCGGCAGGCCATTCCTGACATTCTTTGTGCTGATCTCACAAAGCCTCCGGTGTCCGGTGTCCGGTGTCTGTGTGAGACAGGGACAGCTGCGGCGTTTGCGGTGGGGCCCCCGGGGGGTGGGGGGTGGCCTTTCTGCTCAGATGCCAGCTGACTGCGGCTGGGAGAGGCTTCCAGAATAGCTCAAGGGTGCACAGCTGGGGGGAACGGACCACGAACACCACCCCATTGTTGCCCCTCCCAGTGACGGCGCATGCAGCCGCCACACACTCTCCACCACTGTCAATGCCATCAGGTTTTTAAGGACATTACAGACGGCACAATGGGACTCTGTATGTGTCTGCTGAAGGAATGAATGAAGAGTTGAACAAATGAGCTCATATTCTGTGGGTTGGATGCAAGAGACAGAATGCTTTTCAAGATTCCTTAATCAATAAGCAATAAGGAGTGTGATTGTCATAAGGCCAGGGGCGTGTGTGTGTGTGTGTGTGTGTGTGTGTGTGTGTGTAGGTGTCTGTCCCAGAACCCAAGAATGGGAAGCAGCTGGGCCTGCGAATGTATCCCAGGATCGTCTGCAGAGTCTCCCCTTTCTCTAACACCCAGCCTGGGACTCACCAGGCCTCTCCCCCACAATAAAATAGAGTCATCCCGCAAGACCCACTGGGAGAACTTTCCTGCCCAGGTCGGGGGTTCCCGAGATCCAGTTACCCATGCAAAGGGCAAACGCTTACTCATTCACCTGTTCTTTTGTTTCTTCTTCTTTTTTTTTTTTTTTAAGATTTTATTTATTTGACAGAGAGAGGGAGCTCACAAGTAGGCAGAGAGGCAGGCAGAGAAGAGAGGGGGAAGCAGGCTCCCCGATGATCAGAGAGCCCTATGCGGGGCTCGATCCCAGGACCCTGAGATCATGGCCTGAGCCGAAGGCAGAGGCTTAACCCACTGAGCCACCCAGGCGCCCCTCTTTTGTTTATTCTTTAAGTCAATAGCCATAGCCTTGTGCTCGAAGCCACCCCTGGAATCCTGAGGAGGTCGGGGGGAGAGGGAGGACAGCTTTCCAAGAAGGGCGAGCAGGGCAAACACCCCAGGAGGCTCCCCGGTGACTGAGGCGTGTTCATGGGCAACAAAGGCAGGCCGCAGCTCCAGGCCCCAGCCCAGAGTCATTTATCTTCTTCTCTCTCTTCCCCTTCCCCATGCCCAGAGAAGATCTTCTCCGAGGTGACTCCCAAGTGTGAGAAATGTCACAACGTGGTGAAGCCTGGTGAGCCTCGGGGCCAGGGGCCCAACCCAGAGAGATTTGGGCTGAGACCCCCACCCCTCCACGAGCCCCTTCCCAAGAAGGCTACCCTCCCTCCCTGACCAGTGCCCCAGATCTGTCCCCACTGCTCCACTGCTCCCAGCCCTCAGGCCTGCCTCTGCTCCTGCCCTGTCTCTCTCTCTCTCTCTCTCTCTCTGACCCTGCCTCTACCTCCCATTTCACCTTCTCTTTCTGTCTCTGTGTCTTTCTGTCCCCCTGCCTCAGACATCGTGTTCTTCGGCGAGAACCTCCCAGCGAGGTTCTTCTCCTGCATGCAGTCAGTAAGTGGCCCCGGGCTCCCCCACGTGGGGGCAGATGGCCTCCCCAATTAGCTGCAGATGGGGTGTTGGGGGGGAAGCAGCCCAGCCCCCACGGAGCCCCTGGAGCCCTCACTGGCCACGCCCCCCCTCACAGGACTTCCTGAAGGTGGATCTCCTCCTCATCATGGGCACGTCCCTACAGGTGCAGCCCTTCGCGTCCCTCATCAGCAAGTAGGTTGGGACGGGGCGGTGGGGGGGGGGCTGGGGATGGGGGAGCCAGCACAGGTCCTCACCGCTGAGCTCGCCATCCCTCAGGGCACCCCTCTCCACCCCACGCCTGCTCATCAACAAGGAGAAGACTGGGCAGGTGAGTTGGCTTTTATTTGAGCTCCCCTCTGATTTTCCCTCCTCCTCCTCCTCACAGGGGTCCCACATTCCCTTTCACTGGGACCCCCAGCTCAGAACCAGGAGTTCTAGAATCCAGATTCCAGGTCACCTGGACTCTGGTTCTACAGGCATCTGGGTCACTTGGGACCCTTCTGAGCAAGGGACAGAACCCCAACTCGAAGCGACTTAAGCCAGGATTGGAATGCTGTGCCTCGTGCAAGGGAAGAGTCGGGGCAAGCTGGACCCAGGGCCCGCAGCCCAGCATCGGGAGGCGCCCACTCCTGCTTTCGGCTCTTTTCCTGAGGTGGTCTCGCTCCCTCATCCCTGGGGAGGGATGGTTCCTCGAAAAGGCCAAACATGCCATGGGCCAGGCACTGTTCCAAGCACTTTGTTTTATTTTTTTATTTTATTATTTTAAGTAGGCTTCACGCCCAGCATGGGGCTTGAACTCACGACCCTGAGATTAAAGAGTCACGTGCTCTACTGACTGAGACGGCAGGCGCCCCTAAGCACTTTCTAAGTATTCACCCTAATAGTACCCGGCTAGGAACAGTTTGGTGATGGCCCCCCACTCTACAGATAAGGAAACTGAGGTTCAGGGAGGCCAGGTCACTTGAGTAAAGTCACAGAGCAGGGAACAGAGCCAGGCCACCTGTTCCAGGGTCTGTGTTCTGAGCTGTCCCCGCCCCCCCCTCCTACCCCCGCCACAGACTGACCCTTTCCTGGGGATGATGATGGGCCTTGGAGGAGGCATGGACTTCGACTCCAAGAAGGCCTACAGGTGAGTCCTGGGCCTGCGCGGGTCTCAGCCGAAGTGGGAGGGAAGGCGGGAAGGCACACTGACTGGGAAGGGCAGGCAGGGGCCGGGGACAAGCCGGGAGCTCTGACTCTCCCACCCACAGAGACGTAGCCTGGCTGGGTGACTGTGACCAGGGCTGCCTGGCTCTTGCCGACCTCCTTGGATGGAAGGTAAGGAGTCTGGGCCACCCCATCCCACCTGGAGCCCCACCTCTAGACCCCTGCCCCTCAGATCCTCTGACTCCATGATGCATGGTGACCTCTGACCTCTGTGAACTTTGCCCCCTGCAGAAGGAGCTGGAGGACCTCGTCCGGAAGGAGCATGCCAGCATTGACGCCCAGGCAGGATCGGGGAGCCCCAGCCCCAACCCCAACACTTCAGCTTCCCCCAGGAAGTCTCCACCTCCCGCCAAGGAGGAGGCCAGGACCGCAGAGGGAGAGCGGCCCCAGTGACAGCTGTGGCTCCTGGGCAGAACTCCTGGGCAGAACTCTCGCAGAGCCCCGCCAGCCCTGGCCCCCTCTAACTTGCAGCTCTTGTCTGGGGAGCTCAGAACATTGCCCCAGTCTCTTAACCACCCCCTCTCAAAACTGAGGTCCCGCCCCCTGACCCTGGCAAACCTCTAACAGCACCCAGGAGCTGAGGCCTGGGCAGCCCGGCTGTAACAGCCCGTAGTCTCTAACCACCCGCGGGGATGGGGATCAACCTCCACTAATCTCTAACTGCTCCCAGGGCCAGGACTGCCTCTAAACTTCTAACTGTTCGTGACAGGGGCCCCAGGCCTCCCCAGGGCTCTCCCATGTCCTCTGCCACTCCTAGGGGCCTGTGCCCAGGTTGGCCAAGTCTAACGTACCCTAGTGGAGTGTGGACCCTCCAAACCTAACACCCTCTGTGGGGAGCTGAGCCTGAAGGCCTCCCGAGTCTGGGCCTCCAACTCCCAAAGTGGGTGCTGGACCCGTTCCCTCTGGGACCCTCTTCCCCTGCCGGGAGGGGCTGACAGTGTTGCTCATTGGAGACAAATTAAAAACAAAAACAACTAACAATCAACTGTCCAGCCTCCCTGTTCCTTTCTGTGGGCACACAGGGAAGCAGCTGGAGGGAGGGGGTCCAGGGAACCAGAACACCAGGCTCTTAGGAGAGAAAGCCAAGGGTGTTGACAGGGGACTTCTGGGGGCTGCAAGAGAGCCCCACAGCTCTTACCCCCAGACTCCCAGACTGCCAGAGTTCCTTCCTCCAAAGCCCAGTCATCTAAATCCCGAGACCCCCGAAAGAGAGGAAGGTCGATTTCAGATACCCCCCCCCCCAGCCCCGCCTCTTCCCCCCGCCCGCCCAGCTTCCTCTCTCTATGAGGAACACTTTCACTTCCTGCTCCTCCGGGCCTCCCTTCAGAGAACAGGTAGGGGTCCCCAGGGACCTAGCGGCTGGTATCGTTACCCTCACTGCCTCCCTTTGGTACCAGGTTGCTGCCCCCCCCCCCCCCCCCCCCCGCACCCACTGGGCGCCCAGGCAAGCGTCTGCCCCCCAGCCCCCACCCCCCCTGCATGCTCTGGGCAGGGCACCTGCTCACCGTCCCCACCCTTCCTAAAACCCTGGGTTTCTAGGCAGCGGGCTGATTGATCTGTTCAGCTGTTGGTTACCCATCTCCTATATCACCCCGCGAAGGCAGGTGCCCGTTCTTTCCACAGGACACCCAGTCAGGGCCTCTCCTTATTAAGAATCTGTCGTTTGGTGCACAGATGAATGGACCCAGGGGTCCTACTCCTGGCATTGCTGGCAGGGAAAATACTCAAAACGGCCCACCTTGAGAGAGAACTCATGCTAGCGAGGACTGTGTACTTGCTGAAGAGTTGAGGTCCAACGGACAGAGGGACAGATGCGTTATAAAGCAAAAAAGAAAATGCTAGCAGTAACATCTTGGTAGCGGATATACAATGTTACCCGTCAAATTCTGGTTTTCTGGATGTTTGAAAATGTCCCGTGTGAAACGTTGAGAAGGGAATATTTGAGGTGCTCCCCCGTGGTCTGGGAAGGGAGGAAGAGAGGATGTTGCATAAGATAGGTCACATTGACAGCTCCTTCTGTGGGCTGAGCATCCGTCCCGGTGCTGGGTTCTGGCAAGGGCTGGTATCCAACTGGTCCCCGTCGGTATTATGGCAGCACTGGTTGTCAAAAGCTGAAATATTTCTGCATCTCTCGGTAAATAGCTGTCCATCTGGGTCCTCTTCTTTCCCCCCTCCCTGCCAAGACCCACTGGCTTCCCTCCTGGGATCCCCAGATCTCCCCCACCCTCCTAAGACTAAAGAATTAACACCCGCCATAGCAAGGGGCCTTGGGTCCATTCTGATTGGTCAGGGTTTCTGCCATATTGGTTGTAAATCTGTTGATGATTACCCCTGGATTGGAGCCACTTTGAGCCTTATCTTCCTCCCTGCCAGAGGCCAGGCCATGGCTTGCTGGCCTCCTGCGTCCTGAGGATGGCCCAGCTGGAAGACGAGGCCTCTGCAGGCCCCATCAACGGGGAGAGGTGAGGGCTGCTGGGGCTGGGGTCTCCAACTCCTGCCCTAGCTTCAGAAACCCCTTCCATCCAATGTCCACCCCCCCAGAAGACCCTGAATGCCGTCTTATCCCTTGGCTGCCCCTTCCTGCACCTTTGACCCCCACCTCAGTGTCCCACTGCCCATCTCTAATCCCTTGTCTCCTGGACTCTGCATGTCCCAGATGGGTTCCATCACAGGTGAATGGAGCAGGTGAGACCCCCATAGGGGTCCCTGGGACCCCAGAGCCACTCCTTCGCCTCTGGAGGACGTGGGGGGTGTGGCAGATCCCAGAGCTGGATATCCAGGATGCAGAAGCCCTTCTTGAGCTGTGGCCTCCGGGGGTGAGTACTCACAGCCAGGGACCTTCTCTGACCCTCCCCGGGTCACCACAAACCAGTCAGGACTCTGCTGATTCCTAGCAACAAACACCACAAACCAGAAAAACTGAAAAGACTACTTATTGATTCCAGGGACCAAAAAACCCAGAAGTGAAGGGAATTTCAGGAATGTCTGGACCTGAGCATTAGACAACTTATAAATCTCTCCCCATCCCATTTCTGGGCTTTGCTTCAACTGTGGGGAAAGCCCAAAGAACAAACACTTATTCTACAGTAGCTTAGGCAAATAGGCTTTTATCTTTCTGACACATCCAGAAAGGCGGCCACAGGCTCTGTCCAGCAGCCCTAGAAACATCAAGGCCAGCTTCTCTACCATTCTCTTGGATGCCCCTCACTGTTGCCAGGTGGCCGCCCGCCCCAGGTCCAAATACATGTATGCACTCCAGGCAGGAGGAAGAAAACAAAGGAAATACCAATTGCACCAGGAAAACTAAAAGTCTTTACAATAGATTCAAAATACATGGATGGGGCCCATGTGGAAATATTTTTTAAAAACTCACATGGGAGTTATAAACCCAGAAGTGAGAAACACTGCCTACATCATCATCCATCTTCTCCGGCTGGGCAGATTATGCCAGAACAAGGCTACAATTCTACAAGGGACGAGGATGGACTTGGATAAGGCAACTAGCTGGTCTACACAGCTTCCTTCACAGGGGGGCTCTGTCCTTGTGGTGCCAGAGATGACTGTCCCCAGCTCATGGCCACATCCCACAGGTTTAACCATCCCAGTGTAAAAAGAGGTTTCCTTCCAAAGAGCTCAGCAAAAATCTTGTGGAAGATTTCCCTTGACTGGCCTTGATTCACATTCCCATCTCTGAAGCAATCACAGTGATGAGAAAGTACTGTCATCCTATTGGCTAGGTCAGGTCACAGGACCATCCCTAGGGCTTGGAGGGAGTTAGTCCAACCCACAGGGACGAAGGGAGGGAGAGGGTTTCTTTGAAAGAAATTTGGGGTATGGAATCTAAAATAAGGGAAATGGACACTGGGTAGGCAAAAGTAACAGATATTTGCACAAATCCCTTTCAAGATGACCTTTGCCTCAGGGGGGTCCTGGCTGCCTCAGTAGGAAGAACGGGCAACTCTTGATCTCAGGATTGTGAGTTCGAGTCCCACACTGGGAGTAGAGATTACTTAAATAAAACTTAAAAAAAAAAAAAAGATGACCTTTGCCTCCATTCCCCCCACCCCACCCCAGAGCTTCCTGGTCACAGGACATGACCCCAGTCAGGTCCTGGTGTTGAGGACAGGAGCTTCACCAGGAGAAATCCACACCTACCAGATCCAGAAGCTTCCTGACGGTGAGGAGCCGACCCCTAGATTCCAGCCCACAGTAAATTTAATCAGCTTTGCTTCCAAAATATCTCCCAAATGCTATTTGGTGCCATAAGTGGGATGCAAACATAAAGTCACAGGAAAAGACGGGAACTCCAAAGGGTAGAAATTTCCCTGTTTTGAAGATTTTGGGGGGGATTACAGGACTGAGGAAGAGAGAGTCCCAGGGAAAATGAGGCTGCCACCCTTAACTTTTTCTTCCTTGCCCCTTGTTGCCCCGTCCCCGCAGGTGTGTCTCTGGAATATTCTAACCTCTGCATGCCAGACCTGCCCCATCTCCTGGCCTTCCTATCAGCCAGCAGGTACAGATTCCCCATAAAAAGGGCTAAGGGGGTTCTATCCCTAAGACATCCCATCCACACTGCAGCTCCCTCTTACCTTTTCTCAGGGATGTTTTGCCCAGAACACTGCTCTTGCCCCCTCCCACTCTAAGGCCTGGAGACCAACACACAGGTGAGGGATGGCTCCCTAAGTGAGGGGGAAGCCACTTTCCAGGCTCCTTGGTCCAGCAGGATGGCCCTTCAGGGACCAGACTACTGGGTTTGTGGGAGAATAAAATGGGGGTGAGGGAGCTATGGGAGATTTGACTCCTGGGCCTGACTGACAAGGGGCCGGGGACCAAGCCAGTAATGAGGCTGGAAATTAAGTCTCCCAGTGCCCTGAAGAAAGCAGGGCTGGGTTCTTGGATGTCTGGGACACCTTGGTTATGCTGGTCCCCAGGTCCCCCACAGACTGGCAGTGTCTACCTCAATGTCCCGGAAAGGGTGCTCTCCATGGTGAACAAGCTCTACCTGGAGACTCACGGAGGGTGGGGGAAGGAGCAGATCCCCCCAGAGACACCTCCAGAAACTGCAGAAAGACACAGTTCCGGTGAGCTGGGCTGGACAGGGTCCTGGGCCCCCAAGGGACAAGGGAGCTGCTGCCGCTGTTCTGTGGGGCCCAACTCTCCCCTCACATCCAGCCCCCAGGAACCCTGCTCCTCACCGGGTCTCCTGGGTGGAAGGCCCACTCAGCCCAGAAGTACACCATCCTGGGCCAGCCCTGGCCAGCCTGGTGGAGGAGAAAGAGAAGGAGGATGAGGACGAGGATGAAAACGCGGACGACTACGAAGATGAAGAGAATGGCCCCGAGGATGTGCTGGCCCATCACATTCAAGCTCTGGCCAGGGCCCGGGGCAACTACGTGGGCAGGCAGTTCCAGAGCCTTCGGGCACGCCTCACCTCAAATGCCAGGGGCCCTCACAGGCCTGGGGACCCTGCCACAGAGCTGCTTCAGGATGTGCGCCACCTCCTTACTGACCTCCAGGACCACTTATCAAAGGACCCCGATGTCAGGGCTGTTTTTGGGAGCAGGGGGCCTGGGGTCCCCCAGAAGGACGATGATCTTGGTAATAAGGAGGGCTGGAAGGGAATTTATGGCCATTCCCTGACCCCACTCGGGTTCTCGTGTGCCATCCCTTGGCGCTATCTGTGTGTCCACACCCAACTTCTTTCTCTCCATCTCCGTGCACCTGTTTGCCTAGCCACTCACATGCCTTTTCCTACATAGAGTAACTCCCGTTCCGTTCACCACTGCTCCGTCTCTTGCATGTGTGACACCCGCACTCCCTCTTCCATGAGCGTGTTCACACCCAGGCTCCCTCTTCCACATGTGTTCTCTCACCCGTGTCTACACTTGTGGGGGGTCAGAGGCCAGAGCGGGGTGGTACTGAGGCCTCGGGGCGGGGGTCAGCACTTCAGCCCTTCGCTCACCCACCCCAACCCCTCGCAGGCGCTGCGGTGGAGGCAGCCTTGTGCCGGGCGGTGCTGGCGCCGTTGAAGCCTGCCCTGTGGGCGCGACTCCGCAAACTCCGAGCCCAGGAACTGCGGCGACTGAGGCAGCGACAAATAGCCCTGCGGGTGGGGGCGGGGCCTCCGGGATGCCAGGGGGCGGGGCTTGAGGGGCAGGGCCCGGCCCCCGCCCTGCGCAGCCGCATCCACGCGCGCCTGGAGCACCTCCACGCCGCCTGCGCTCCACGCCGCAAGGTGGCGCTGCTGCTGGCGGTGTGCACTGACGTTTACGCAGGCCTGGCTCAGGGCGAGAACCAAGGTAAAGGAGGTTCACCTGCGTTCACCTGGATGTGCGGTAGCTTGCCGGGTGGGAGGTGCCTGTGTGCACGTCGAGGGGAGAGGGTGGCACGCTCTAGCGGGAGACGTCTGGTGATCTGGTTAGAGGCCTGGTGATCGGGTAGGAGGCGTTTGCATGCCCATCAAGGTGGAAGGGCAGCCAGCGCCCATGTCCCGGGGATCGGATGGAGGTATCTGCACGCCCCCATCCGCTTCAAAGCCTGTCCTCCCGCTCCGCCAGAGCCCCTGGGGGCCGACGCCTTCCTGCCCGCACTGACGGAAGAACTGATCTGGAGTCCGCACATTGGGGAGACGCAGCTGGACGTGGAGTTTCTAATGGAGCTGCTGGATCCGGATGAGCTACGGGGAGAAGGTGAGTCCCCACCCCAGAAACGCTGGGAACTAACAGGGGGCGCCCTAGGGGCCCAACAGCCTCGCCCTGCAGCGTCGGACAAGGCGGACAAGCCGCAGGGAGACCTGGGGGGACCCGGGTTGCCAGAGAGCTGCACTGACCGCCCCGTCCTGTCCCTAGCCGGGTACTACCTGACCACGTGGTTTGGGGCGCTATACCACATCGCTCACTACCAGCCGGATGCGGGCCGCGCACCCCAGGGGCTCAGCTCTGAGGCTCGTGCCTCCCTGCGCCAGTGGCACAGCCGGCGGACACTGCACAGACAGGACAGGCAGGACCACGCCGGAGCCCAGGTGATCGTCCCTTCCGACTGCGGGTGAAGAGGAGCGCTGTACCCATTGCCTTTCTCACCCAGCCTCCTGCCCCTCCCCACAGGTTAGCCTGCCCTTTGAGGAACCTTGGGCAAGAGATCCTGTGCCCAGAGACCAATGATGACGAGGGGTCTCAGACCCTCCTGCTTCTCAGGCAAGATTCCAGGGGCCCCAGGATGGCACCAACTTCTAACCCCTATTGGCTTAGGTGCAGGGAGGAGGAAGGGTTCCCAGGAACAGAAGCCCCTCTGGTTTGCCCCTTCCCCTGCCCAAGATGGCTCCTTCCTAATCCCCAGAATCTGTGAACATGGTCAAAGCGACTTTACCTTGACATGCGGAGATTATTCTGGATCATTCTGGGGCCCCAATATAATCTCTTTGAGTCCTTGCAAGAGGGAGGCTGGAGGGGCAGGGTCGGAGAAAGAGACAGGATTTTGTAAGCAGAGGGTGGAGTGATATGGCTGGGAACCAAAGCAGGCACCCTCTAAAAGCTGAAACAGACAAGTGGATTTTCCCCTGGAACCTACCGAAGACTCAGCCTTTGATTTTAGGCCGGAAGAGCTATTTTGAACTCCTGACCTTTAGAACTGCAAAATAATAAATTTGTGGGTTTTTTGACCTGGTAAGTTTGTGGTAATTTGTTAACAGAAGCAACAGGAAGCAAATATACTCTCTTACCCTGAACTTTATTTTCCATAGAAATTATCACTTCCAGGGTGCCTGGGTGACTCAGTGGGTTAAGCCTCTGCTTTTGGCTGAGGTGGTGATCTCAGGGTCCTGGGATTGAGCCCCACATCAGGCTCTCTGCTCAGCGGGGAGCCTGCTTCCTCTCTCTCTGCCTGCCTCTCTCTGCCTACTTGTGATCTCTAATAAATAAACAAAAACATCTAAAAATTTTTTCTAAAAATAAAATAAATTATCACTTCCTAACATACCATAATATGTACTTATTTATTGTGGCAACTGTCCATAGGCTCCCTCCCCTTAGGCCGCCCAACAGAAATACAATGCAAGGGGTGCCTGGGTGGCTCAGTGGGTTAAAGCCTCTGCCTTCGGCTCAGGTCATGATCCCAGGGTCCTAGGATCAAGCCCTGAATCGGGCTTTCTGCTCAGCAGGGAGCCTTCTCCCCCCCCCCCCCCGCCTACTTGTGATCTCTGTCTGTCAAATAAATAAATAAAATCTTAAAAAACAAAGAAATACAATGCAAGCTATATACGTAATTATAAGTATTCCGATAACTCCATTACAAGAAACTAAAAAGAAGCAAGTGAAATTAATTTCAAGAGCCTACCTGATTGAACCCAGTATGTCCCAAAGGTTATCACTTCAACCTGTAATCAACATCTGAAAATTAGGAGCACCTGGCCAGCTCAGTCGGTGGAGCATGTGACTCTTAATCTCAGGGCTGTGAATTGAGCCCCACATTGGGTGTAGAGATTACGGAAAAACTAAGAAGAAATCCTTGAAAAAATCCAAAAATTATTGTGCTGTGTAACGTTCTTTTGCATATGTGCACAATATTCAAAACCCAGTGTGTATTTTATATTATAGCACATCTCAGCTGGGACCAGTCCCATTGCAAGTTCTCAGTAGCCACCACACAGGGCTTGGAGCTACCATTTTGGAGGGTGGCCTTGGAATGTCAGCTCCAGGAGGCTAGCGGTTTCTGTCTTGGGCACAGCTCTATTTTCAGTGCCTAGACAAATCCCTGGCACCCAGCAGGTGTTCGGTAAATACTGGCTAAATGATTCAGTGACAGAGTTTCTGTGGAAGGCTGAAGATAGCTGCCCAAAAGCTATTCCTGTCCTAATCTCTGGAATCCATGAACATTACCTTATTTGGAAAAGGGTCTTTGGCCCGGTTTTTAAATGAAGGATCTTAAAATGGGGAGACTGTTCTACATGATCTGGGGGAGGGCTCTAAATGCAATACACGTGTCCCTAGAGAAGGAAAGCAGAGGGAGATTTGACACTAACAGGAGAAGGTGATGGAAAGACAAGCAGAGAAAGATTTGAAGATGCCGGCCTGGAAGGTTGGAGAGTTGGTGATCACAAGGCAAGGAAAGCCATCAGGGTGGCACCTGGGCGGCGGTCAGTTAAGCATCAGGGTTTTGGTTTTGGCTCAGGTCGTGATCTCAGGGACATGAGATTGAGACCTGCATCAGGCTCTGAGGTCAGTGGGAAGCCTGCTTAAGATTCTCTCTCTCTCTCCCTCTGCCCCTCCCACTCATGTCTTCAGGCTCTCACTCTCTCTCACTCAAGGAAAAGTAAATAAATCTTGAAAGAAAGAAAGAGTGGTCAGCTACCAGATGCTGGGAGAAGCCCAGACAGGATGCTCTCCTAGCACCTCCAGAAGGCGGGGGTGGGGGGCATCCACACCTTGATTTCACCCCAGTGATACTGATTTCAGACTTCTAGCCTCCAGAACAGTAGAAGACATTTCTGTCATCTTAAGCCACTGAGTCCGTAGTCATTTGTCACAGCAACCACGGGAAATTCAACAGTTATTCAGCACTTAATATGAAAAAGAGAAAAATGGAGTAGAATTAATACCCAGCCCAGTCTCACTCCCGCAACAAGGGATATGCATCTACTGATGCAGGAATTAACTAGAAAAGTAGAAAAATCCCCTCACTCCACTTCACAGAGAGAGAGAGACAGATTGCCATTACAATTGACATTTTGCATTTCATAACGACCAAAATTCTGTAATTTTAGACGTCATCCAAAAAATGTGCCAGGAAAGGGTTTTTTGGCGATTGTTTTTAAAAACCAAAAAGCTCAAAATGGCTGCAGCGGGCAGTGAGTCAGCAAGCAGGGATGGGGGAACGACAGGATGTGGCCTCTGGTCTTAGGTTCATACAGAACTGAGTGAGGGAGCTGGATCCCAGGAGACAGAGGGGACCATCATCTCCTTTTTCAAGAACCTTCAGAGCAAGCAGGGCACCAAGAATTTCATTGTGTTTACTTATTATGCATTTTTAAAAGATTTTATTTACTTATTAGACAGACAGACAGAGAGCCCAAGCAGTCAGAGGGAGAAGCAGACTCCCCACTGATCAAGGAGCCTGATGAGGGGTTTGATCCCAGAATGCCAGGACTGTGACCTGAGCCAAACGTGGATGCTTAACTGACCGAGCCACCGAGGTGCCCCGATTTATTATGCATTTATGTAGATATGTATTTTTTATAATTGTAGTAAAAATCATATAATACCAAATTTACCCTCTTAACTATTTTTAGGTGTTAGAGTTATAATAGTGTTAACCGTATTCACTATTTTTTGGTGTTAGTGTTATATATATTAGTGTTAACTGTATTCACACTGCTATGAAAGTGTTAATATATACACATGGTTGTGTAACAGATTTCTGAAAGTCTTTGTCTTGTAAATCTGAAACTATGCCCATCAATCACAACTCCCATTTCCCCTTCCCCCGCCCCTGGCAACCACCATTCTCCCTTCTGTTTGCATGGTTTTCATGATTCTTAGATGTCTCATTTAAGTGGAATCATACAGTCTCTCAGTTAACTGGCTTATTTCACTAAAGCAGTATGTTCTCGGGGCGCCTGGGTGGCTCAGTCAGCTAAGCGGCTTCACCATTCTTTGTTCTCTGCATGGGTAGGTCTTGCGGACAGTCCCAGTTTCTGGATTTCCTCATTATTAGATTCCAGCCCTGCAGTTTCGGCAAGTACACCCTGAAGTAGGCTGCGTCCTTCTCAGGACATCCCCTAGGGGGCCCCCTGATGGGCAGGGCTAACTACCGGTGGAGTGAAGAACTGTATTGGTCTGATCAACGCGCCGCAATAAAAAAGCACAGATGGGGGGCGCCTGGGTGGCTCAGTGGGTTAAGCTGCTGCCTTCGGCTCAGGTCATGATCTCAGGGTCCTGGGATCGAGTCCCGCATCGGGCTCTCTGCTCAGCGGGGAGCCTGCTTCCCTCTCTCTCTCTCTCTGCCTGCCTCTCTACTTGTGATCTCTCTCTGTCAAATCAATAAATAAAATATTTTAAAAAAAAAAAAAAAGCACAGATGGGGCGGTTAAAGCACAGAAATGCGGTTTCTCACAGTGCTGGAGGCTGGAAGTCCAAGATCAAGGCCTTGGCAGGTTTGGTCTCCTCTGATGCTTCTCTCCTTGGCTTGATGATGGCCATTTTCTCCTTTTGTCTTCACCTGGCCTTCCCTTTGGCCCTGTTACATTAGTTCCCAATCTCTTCCTATAAGGACGCCATTCATATCGCCCTGGGATACCCATACGACTTCATTTTAACTTAATAACTTAATCACCTTTTTAAAAAAGATTTTATTTATTTATGTGAATGAGAGAGAGACACATAGAGAAGTGGCAGGGGTGGGGAGGAGAGAAGCAGACCCCCCCATCAAGCAGGGAGCCAGACTCTAGGCTCGATCCCAGGACCCTGGGATCATGACCTGAACCCAAAGACAGACATTTAACTGACTGAGCCCCCCAGGCGCCTCTAAATTAATCACCTCTTTAAAGGCTCTTGCTCCAAACACAGTTGCATTCTGGGGAACTTTGGGTTAGGACTTCAACATATGAATTTGGAAGGGAGGGTCACAATTCTGCTGGTGGTGGGAAGTGACTGCTGGATCTCTGCTCCTCTGAGTTATGATGTCATCAGTGGGTGGGACCCTGGGACCCTGCGAAGGACCTGTCCCCAATAGCCTTTCACCCAATGCTTGTAGGCTTGTAGCACCTCTCCTTGGTTCTTGCTGAGTCATTGGATTTATTCCTACTGCTATATTCTATTTATAGCTGGTGATACTGCTTTTCTACCTCCTAGAGTGGAATGACATTTCCTGTTTTTTTCCCAAGATTATTTATTTATTTATTTATTTGAGAGAGAGAGAGAGAGAGAGAGAGAGCGAGCGCGCATGCAGGCACATAAACTGGGTGGCAGGGGGGCAGAGCAGGCAGAGGGAGAAGCAGCCTCTCCATTGAGCAAGGAGCCCAATGTGGGGCTTGATCCCAGGACCCTGGGACCATGACCTGAGCCGAAGGCAGACACTTACTGAGCCACCCAGGCACCCCTGACATTTCCTGTCTAAATAGAGGTGTTGAATTAAAAAAAAAAATCTGAGTTGACTTCAAGAAAACTATCCAGTAGCTAAGTACATGGGTGATGCATGGATACGTGGCAAGGTATAGGAAAGTGAAATGCAAAAGATGGGCATTTGGGCTATCACTGGTTGAGGACTATGGGGTCACACCCAGTATTTTGTTCCCTCTGGAGCTCGGGGGAGCTTCGAGCTTTGTGCTAGATGCCTCCTCTTGTGGTCCCATTCCCATGGTGTCCCAAA